AACTTTTTATTTAAAAATTTGAAACTAATGAATAATGATTAGAATCTAAATTGCTAGTGAATTAAAAAATTTACCTTAAATAGCTTTTATACCAAACCGCTAATGGATTTTTTTTTATTAAAAATAGAAATAAATGTTTGATTACATATTTTATTTCTTTATTTTCTTATTATTATTATTTAAAATTAATAATTTTAATAATAATAAAATAATAAACGAAAAAAATATATACTAAGAACTTGCTTATTATAGTAGTTAAAATTCAATGAATGGTGGGTAGCGGATAGGAGTAGCAGGTAATGATAAGCAATTAGTGGATAACGGGTGATAGATAACAAAAGTGAATAGTAAATAACTAATTCGATCAATATAATTATTTGATTACACAATAATTAGCAGTTGTTATTAATTGTTAAATTACTAATAAAGATATCTTTAAAAACAATTAAGTACATTTTTTTCTTTTTATATATTTTATTATTAAAATTATTAATTTTATAAAATAATAATAACAAGAAAATAAATAAATAAAATAAATTATAATAGTATAATATCATATACTCATTTCTATTTTTAACAAAGAAAATATTATATTATTTTTAAATAAAAAATTTTAATTAGTAAATTTTGTTTATTAAGCTAATATTTTTTTATGATAAATTAATGTAAAAAATAAAAATATAATAATCATTTAATTTTTTATAGACAAAAATTAAAGTTGAAACTAATTAGATAAATACTAATTAAAAATTATAGCTAAAAATTTAAAAATTAAAAAAGATAAATTTGTTAATAAAATTAATAAATTTCAACCTATTAGTGGTTTGAACCCCAACTGCTATCCACTTGTCTTAAATCGTTAAATAAAAATTTTTACCAAATACTTTATTTGTAATAGTTTTAAAATATATAAGTTTATCAAATACCTCCTTTTAGCAATTTGGAGAAAACTATTAACCACTATCTCAAAACTATTATATTAAACGAGCTCTTAATTGCTTTCAAACATGTCTTTATAAGTCAATTAATGTTAAACAACAACTACTAACACTTATA